CCGGGATCATGACCTGAGCCGAAGGCGGACGCCCAACGACTGAACAACCCAGGCACCCCCATAAGCAGTTTTAAATATCCAAGTAGCAGCTGCCATGGTAGGAAGGAACCACTGCAACATCCAAGAATTACGGGATGCTTTTTACAGATCCAGGCCGACTACAGGAGAGTAGAGAGCCTTTAATTTATATAAAAAGGCAGACTGAAAAAAAAAAAACAAAACAGACTGTTGTAACCTAACATATCCCTAGGGTTATCCCTTATATTTAGGTTCTTACATTTTCAACAGTTCCGCTCTGATCTGGAAATCCTGTTGCTCCTTCTGGGATGAGGGAACCTCTTGAATCTTCCCTCTTGATTCCATGTCCATTTTGAAAAGCCCCATAAGCTGGAAAAAAGCCAAGTCCTTGTTAACAACAGGAAAAATGGTCAAAAAATATTTTTAAAAATAAGTACTGGGTTAATTTAAAGATAGATTTTAGGGAACGGATCTTGGTCATCTAAAATGTGAAGTTTCTATTTTATATCAAAACACCGTAAGAAGCCTAACAAAGGGTGACTTTTTTTTTTTAAAACCACTTGAAATACTTTACTATGTATGAAACTACAAGAGGTTCTCTGGAAGTAATAAAGGAAAGCCATACAATTTGAGAGATAGTTTTATAGGTGAGGAAACTTGGGCCCAGAAAAGGGAAGTGTCTTATCCAAGACTGGAGACAGATAGGATCGGAAACCAGTGTTTTTCTCATTATCCTTTATTTTACCAGTATACCAAAGCTACATTTTAAACAAGCTTAGATAAGGAAACTTAAGCAAAAAAAAAAAAAAAAAGTGGCTGCAAGTGTGAGTCAGATTTAATTAAACTTTAGAAGAGATCATGCTATGTATAGTTGTTATTATGAAGTATTTCAAAAATACAGAGAAGTACAGGGTGCATTTCTACACAGCCATGCAATGTATAATCTTTAAAGGACTTAATTACCAGTGTCTTTGTCAGTGCTCAGACTCCCTCTATTTGTAGGTGAAGTGAAGCCACATGCAAACTCATCCCTGGATGCCTGTAACACAATGTGACACCTCTGTCATTTCAACAAATTTGTACACGAGGATGAGAAATTGGAATTAACAGAATGAGAGGGTACCCTAACTTTAAACAAAGCTCACTGTGAAAGTCTAAATCAGGTATCACTGTTGGTATTTTGGTGACATCTCTTTAAAAACGGGGCACTAGTGTACTCTGCAAGCATGACCCCTGGCCAAGTAACAGAACCCTAGATGGCTGGTAAAAGCTCCGACTGGTTGCAGTCCAGTCATGGCTCAGTAATCCTCCTTGGAACTAGGTGCAATGCTGGAAGGAGGAGTGTGACCAGAAGCCCTAGATGAATTTCAGCTACAGAAGAAAGAACAGATAAGTAAAATATTTCCAAATATCACGGTCGAATGTTGTGGAGTGAGCAGAAGCATGAGTTAACTGTGTCTGTGAAGAAAGACCAGCCTAAAACCCAGGTAGATAATGCAGCACCCACATTTAGCTGATTTACGTAATCGGGAGCTATAGGCAATAAAGCCATCAGGGAGGCTTAAAAGCAGCTTTCTCAGGAACCCAAGGCAGGCTGGACAAATCGACGAGGACATTTGATAGGGGTAATTTCCAAAGGAAGCTGTAAAGGACACAGTTCAACCTGCCACTCAACAATATAACATGGCTACTGAAAGTGTGAAGGTGATCTTGGGCCATTCGGAACATGGAGTGGGGGCAGGGCAGGACTTAATAGTCCCTCTGGGGAGACTATAAAGCATACCATTCTGTGCACCACATTTTAATAGGGCGACTGGTAAAATGGAGCATATTCAGAAGAGCGTAACCAAGATTGTCAAGGGTTTGGGAATGACAAAAGATGAAGTAGAGAAATCTGGTCTGGAGAAAAATTTAGAAGGCACTTGTGCAAGGGGTATCATGTGGAAGTGGGAACAGATGTGTTCTATGTATCTCTAAGAAGGCAAAACTAGGACAAGTAGATAAGAAAACATTTTAGGTCTAATGTGAGAAGGAAAGTTTTAATTATTACAAAGGCAAAATGTTGTTTTGCCAAATGGGAGACTGGTCACCCTCTGAGGTTCCTTTTAATACTAAGATTCTAAAGGGGGAAAAAAGCACAGACCAATTGTGCTGAGCTAAAAGCAGCTCAAAAGAACTAAAAGGAGGCTGTCCCAGGAAGGGAGAAGCAAAGGAATATGCCTCACATTTTGGAAGCGAAGAATCCTTCATTCCGTTTTCAAGTTGAATACATGAAGGCAAATAACAACAGTAAATCTTTTTTTTTTTTTTTAAGATTTTATTTATTTATTTGAGACAGAGAGAATGAGAGAGAGAGAGCACATGAGAGGGGGGAGGGTCAGAGGCAGAAGCAGGCTCCCTGCCGAGCAGGGAGCCCGATGCGGGACTCGATCCAGGGACTCCAGGATCATGACCCGAGCCGAAGGCAGTCGCTTAACCAACTGAGCCACCCAGGCGCCCCAACAGTAAATCTTAAAACAACTGGGTGGAAGGGATTCTTGGTATTCTCTTGGACCTTGTTACTGAAAGTGTGGTCCCTGGACCAGAAGTAGGCAAAAGTGTGTTAGAAACGCAGTCTCAAACTCCACCACAGGCCTACTGAGTTAGAGTCTCTGGTTTAACAAAATCCCCAGGTGACTGGTATGTACATTAAAGTATGAGAAGCAGGGGCGCCTGGGTGGTTCAGAAGCACTGCTCTAGAAAAAAAAAGTATTAACTGTAAAAATGGAATGAAAAGTAATGATTAAGAAATACAGCATACGACCCCAGTTCCAAACGCCGTCAATAAAATGGGATAAAATGCCAGTGGAAACACATTACTACTTACAGAATTAGGCAAGGCTGCACAAGAATACAAGGTATCTCGACCTGCTAACCGCTGTATATTTTCCAAGAGCAGTCCAACAAACGGTAGGTACAATTGTGCTATTTTGGCCTGTTGGTTCTGAAAAATAATTACCCAAAGCTTAGGAGGTATATAATATGTCTATTTCACAAATAAAGCTGGCCCCATCTATCAGTTTCAAGACTCAAAGTGGGCTAATATCCACAACGAATTAGTGAAGCATGAGGCTATTTATACTTACAAGTCTCAAAACTAATTGCCACACAACTCTCTTGGTCTTTGGATTTATACACGATACAGAGTCAAATCACATCCCTCAATAACTGCATAAAGCAAAAGGCAAAAGTTCACTCTTTTAAAAATAGCGGTTGACCTAGAAAGCAGATAACATCAGTCCTATTCTTCAACTCCAGTGAGGGTTGAGTTTTCATGAGCACAGGGATGGTGTCTATCTTGTTCACCACTTCAACCCCAGCGCCTGGGCAGATAGGAGGTGCTCAATACACATTAGCTGAATAAATGAATCAGTGGAAGAAGTGAAAAAAATGGTGAGTTACTGGGGCGCCCAGGTGGCTCAGTCAGCTGGGCGGCCGATTCTTGGTTTCGGCTCAGGTCAGGATCTCGGGGCCCTGGGATTGAGTCCCACATCGGGCTCTGCACTCAGCACAGAGTCTGCTTCAGGATTCGCTCCCTCTGCCCCTCCCCCTCTTCTCTTTCTCTCAAATAAATCTTTCTAAAAAATGGTGAGTTACTCTATTCCTTAAATTAACATTTTTTTGTTTTGATCAAAGCGATTACGATAATGTGATCTTGGCCCCTTGAGTCAATTGTAAGACTTGGGAGATATATTTGTAAATAAATATATTTATTTATCTCCTGGCCACTAGTAGTCTTAATGTGGTACCTCTTATATGAAAATGTATTTATTGCTTCTCTCAGCTCTAGACATTCCTCATCTGACACGTACATACACTCGAGTCAGCAAAAACAGTGGATGTAATGGCATCAAAGTTGCCCTTCACATTTCATGACTCTGGGAGGTTTTTCCAGAGACTTAGAGAAGGCCTCTAGGGCTCAATAGTCAACATACAGAATACAGAAGATCAATAGTATCTCCTCGTTGCTTGGATTTGCATTTGTTATTCAGGTTGAACAATTTCTCATATTGTTCAATTATTTCTGGGACTCTGCGCCAGATTGTGCTGATGGGCACAGAGGTCTGAGAACCAACTTCCCACCCAAGGCAGGAATGGCCCTTCCCTGCATCCCTGACAGATGGTTCACTCTCACACTCCAGCCTTTTCCTGGATTCTGTTAGAAGGGTCCTTTAGCTGCTTTACTCCTTGTAAGTTCTACCTGCTAGGTACAGCTCTGGCCTCTGGGACTACAGAGAGTAAGGCTACTTCCCACTTTTACATGGCAACTCTTCCAATAGTTAAAGATAGCTACCACAAATCAGCTTAATTCATTCTTCGCGAGGCTAAATGGCCCTAATGACTTTCCTTTGTTCTTCACGTGGCTTTGGTTTCAAGACTTTTTCCCCTAGCGTGGTCACCTGTTTTTGGCAGTTCTGTAGTTTTCCACTTTGGATCTGACAGGCACTATAGTCTCGTGGCTAAGAACACAGATCTTGGATTTTATACTTGTATGAATTCCCAGTCTCCTGTTACCGTTCCTTGACTGTGATCACATCACTGAGCCACAGGTTTCTCTTTCGTAAAATGCGGATAATAATAATAATGCTATTAATTCAAGTGAGGTATTTAATAGTGTCTGACATGTAGCGAGTCCTCAATAAATTTAAGCTGTCATTATTAATACTATAGCTTCGAGATGGGAGTCCACTTTCGTTTGATAGTGAGCACTAGGGAAAGAGCTAATACAACTCTCTCAGGGGAACAGGAACACAGGAAAACATACAGTGTAAAATATATTAAGCTTTGCCTGCACAAAAGACAGAAAACAACCTAAGAATCTATTACTAGAAGACAGTTTAAAATAAGGCATAATCCAGGGGCGCCTGGCTGGCTCAGCGTGTAACTCTTGATCTCAGGGTTGGGAGTTCAAGCCCTACATTGGGTGTGGAGCCTACTTAAAAAATAAATGAAATAAAATGAGGTATATCGATATGATGGAATAATATGCAGGTTTTTTTTTTTTTTAATGTGGTAGATCTAATCTTCAGGATGTACTGTTAGGTAAAAAAAAAAAGAAAAATGCATAATGGTTCCCACATACGTGTGTGTGTGTATATACATATATTTATATATATAGGCTTGTGCATGGACAAAGTAGAAGTATGTATAGGAAACTGATAAGAGTAGCTACTGCTGGAGAGATGAATTGGGACATGGGGATAACAAATGGGAGAGAGGCATTTTTTAACCATGTACGTGGATTACTAAAAAAAAAAAAAAAAAACAAACCAGTGGGGAGGTGGGGAGTGGGGGGGAAGGGGGGGAGAAGGGAAAAAAATTGTTCCACAGCCCAAGTCGAAACTGCAATTCTCTTAGGTATTAACATCACTTGCAGTGGGTACGGGAACAGATACAGACCTCAGGGCAAACAGCAGCCGCTGGGCATTTTCGTTCTGAGCTGAGAAGAGGTCTCATAGTCATTATAACAAGTTAGGAGATCTCCCAAAGCAGTTTCTGAGTAGCACATAATAGGGACCAGTGACATCTTGATAATTTCATTAGACGAGGGGCCAAAGAGTAGCAACATGGTTGAGGAGGTGTGACTAGGGTATCTCAAAAGCAGACTTTCCATAGGAAGCATTTTCTTCCTTGACTGTATATTTATTTGGGGTGACTTCGGGGGGAGCCAATAAAAATTACGGGAGCCTAGGGGCACCTGGGTGCCTCAGTCGGTTGAGCGGCTGCCTTCAGCTCGGGTCATGATCCCAGGGTCCTGGGATTGAGCCCCGTGTCGGGCTCCCTGCTCAGCGGGGAGCCTGCTTCTCCCTCTCCCACTCCCCCTGCTTGTGTTCCCTCTCTCGCTGCGTCTCTCTCTGTCAAATAAATAAATAAAATCTTTTAAAAAAAAGTTAAAAAAAATTATGGGAGCCTAAAGCATCCATCTCTATCCTTACCTTGGCGTCACCATTAATGGTGAACATGTTTTACTTGAATGTATTTGACAAATGACCCCTTACTCAGTCCACTTGTGAATTCTTTGGACCCAGCAGAGAAAGGAATGAAAGCTTTGGTTAACCAGGCCCATGAAGCAAAGTTCTATCAGAAAGAATCCCATATCATGTAACAGCTGTTTAAAGCTTTTGAACGAAGAGAAAAGGGATTTAGAAGTCACTGAAGGGGTAATGAGCTTGGCATTTCAATCTTTCCCACGCTCCCAAACCTCAAATACTCAAGTAGGCGTAGTGTTGAACTTTTACAGATAACAAGAGTTACGTGTGTGTGTGTATACTGTAACATCTCAGAATTTTAAAAAGGGAATAATGTCCAAATATGTGATAGAAAATATTTAAAATTCCACCTCTAGATAAGACACTAGCGAAATCCCATTTTCCTGCACTTTCATCTGAAGAGGCAGAGGTAAATAACACAGTTTCCTGCTTTGGGGAGGGGAAGTTCATTTTGTGCTTTTCCCATGAATCCTTTGAAATCACAGCTAGAGACATTTTCCTCCACGTTGCCTAAGATCCTTTTCTGCACTACCAGACATAAGCAGCAGTTCACCAGAACCCAGTGGTAACTGGCAGTCTTAAAGGTTTGACAAAGCTTGGGTGGAATGGCTGACCTTTGAGGTATCTTTTCATTTAGATGTATTATACTGGTTACCTTGCATTACGTCAATATCGACATTCACAACAAAAGAAAATAGCACATATATATGGAGCAATGGGAATATGTTACTATAGTTATAATGTGACAGAAACCAATGCAAACTGCGGTGAGTAACAAATAACATCTTAACGCTGAGTTTAAATCTACTTTAGGATAGAATCACATGAAGAAAACCAGCAAAATGTGTAAGAAAAAAAAAAACTTTGGAATTAAAGAACTATAACTAGATGTAGCTGGCAGGCATCTTCTGTTTATCAAGGACAAATGGGAATACTGTAGAAAAAGAATAAGCTCTATCTCCAAGTCAGCTTTCCCAAGTGATGACAATAATAAACGATATCCTAATTTTGATTTGTATTTGAATGTAAAAACCAAAGGAGAAATTATTAATTATGCAATAATATGATGTCACCTTGAGGCATTTGATTCTAGGTACGTAAGTTAGGTTATTCTAAATCCACAGAGTTTGCGAACTCCTTTTTTAAGCCCATAGGGTTTCATGTTGATAAGATCTGAATATATATGTTAAAGGTGCAGCAAACAACAACTATAGCTATGGTCTTCACACACAGACACTGTGCAATGTCTATAAGGTTTATAGCCACACCTACATTTTTTCAATAAGAAGAAAATCTTCGTATTACGTATTTCATATTTGACCCAGTTAACATGTCTTACTATTAATCACTTAATCAATAATATAACTGATTTAGGGATATATATTTGAGGATGTATACTAAGAAATATACTTGAAAGAGTCCACATGGCTACAACCGTATATGATTTTTCTTAAAGTCGAACTAGCTTATGTAACAACTCATGAGGTAGTTATGTTGTTCTTTACACGATTTGAGAAACCAGTGTTTTTCTTCAATAGTTAACTGAACAGTATTTTTAAAACCCAATCATTTGATACTGAAACAAATCTTATTTATAAAAGTTCATCGATGCTCATATTATGTGCCTTACTGAGCACATCATCTTTAATGTAAAATCTTAACAGAAATTTACTACTGTGATACTGATTAGATGGGCATCCTTACCTTGTGTTGGTATCTAGTGTCAAATGCATGTTTTATCAAAAGATTCTTTATGACAGAGATAGCTGTATATCTGATCTCATAATTGTCTTGAAGAGCAATGGAGGTTTCCCTCAGAAGTAAACCAACCAAGAAGTGATGCTTGCAATATTCATCTGATAAACTGTATTCAAGATTTGAATCTGCAGGACAATGAAATGGAAAACCCATTTATAAAAGTAATCAAAAATTACCTTGACATTAAAATACCATATTTATTACTTAGTGATATGTGATCATGCTAGCAAGAGCTCTAATTTTATTCTTAACAAATGTGAACAATTCTTTTGTCATGTAGAATGAGCATGCAAAATTTTTACAAGACAGGCACACTCACAATTAGGGCTGTAGGATATAGCCTTAATGATCATTTCAGTCGGTAAGACAGTCCCTAGATTCCTTTTTCCTAGATTCTTTTCAATTCTTAGGAGTCTTAAGATTGAACCCGGAATTAAAGAATACTCTATTTGGCAATATCTTAACACATGTCTTTGTATCCGAAGAGATTTCGTGACAACTACAAATTGGACGGATTCTATACAACAATACTTGAATTACTTATCTGTTTACACTTGTAAAGTAGGAAAAGGAAGAAAAAGACAACTGAATCATTCTAATGGTATTACCTATGGACTGTTCTAGTAAATGTCACATACCGGCCCGAATACAACGGGATACAGGAAACAGTAAGAAAAACAGCCTCATCTCACTCCCAATTCATCAGCAGGCAAGTACAGATCTTTGACTTCAGAAAATCACCACTTCACTTCAAACTATGTCTTTCACTCCCTTTTAGACCTCAGTCCATTTTAAATCCCAGCTGCTAATATCCTGGTTGGGGCCTGCCCCATAACTACTCCCAAGGGCCTGTGATCAAGTTTAGTCATTTCTACCGTAGATCTTCACAATCTTTATTTATTTATTATTATTTATTTATTTATTTTACTTATTTCCTCTCTTCTACCCTTGTATTTAATTAAGCTGTAAAGCTAAAGGATATGTTTTCTAAATACTTTTTCTTCACTTTCACTGGCTCCAATTCAGTGACTAACACCCCACTAACTAACACACACACACACACACAGACACACACAGACACACACACACACCGACCCACCCACCCACCCACACCATCGCTCAACAGCTACTCCCTTGGAGACCAAGGCAGCCAATTTTCTTCTTGCCCTGGCTCATCCTCTTTTGTGAATCCTGAGCACTTTCCACACACGAGGGCCAGTCATGACTAACCCAGGTGGCTCTATCCGGATAGATTCTGCAATGGCAGTTAAGTTTTTTTGGTTTTTTACTTCAGTGATTTGAATACATCCAATCGGGTACTTTCCTCCAAACCTTCAAAACTGCGGCCAAACAGTCATTAGACAGGGTCAGAGAGGAGGGAGGCAAGCCTGGGCAAGAGGACACACACTTAAAGAACAGATACACCCTCCGCTCCCCACGCTGCATTGAGCAGGAACTTATTTTCAAGCGGATTCCTCTAACAATCAATGTGTAAGCTGATTATAAAAGGAAACAAATAATAAAACCAATACTCCTTGGTTTGCTGAGTCCATTAGCCTAAAGCCTCACTGTGGCTAGGGACGATTTGAAAAGCAAAAAGCAAACAAAGCCCCTCCCCTCGTCCATCTTAGCCATTCATCAAATCAATTGTTTTTAAAGACAGTGAACTACTTGAGAGTGAACCGAGTTAAACCTACCTACTGAAGTCAAACGGTCCACCGCAAATGAAAAAAAATCTAATTAATATATGAAAAGAAAAGGGACAAATAAAAAACATAGTAACATAAGAATAGTGCTACACAGCAAAGCATTCAATAAAACTAGCAATGGAGTTAACTGAAGGCATTTCATACATTTAATACATACGACAAATTACAATTCCACTCTGCTTTTATGCTTTTCTTTTGAGGTTCCTTTCAGTGGAAATGCATTTCTATGGTTTGTTTTTTTGTTTTTTAATTCGGTCTCATGTAAGAGTTCAAACACTATTACGGAAAGCAATTTTACGACTATCTGACATCTCTGGCTAAGGAGTCATCAATGTAATAATGCACCTGATTTCTCCACGCTGTGACTACCATCACTGACACTAAGAAGCAAGTGTGGAATACTGTTAATGAACGTATCTTCGGACAGTTAACGATTCTGAGGTTACCTTTCAATTCACGGTTTGCCCAGAAAACAGTACTCTACGCTAGCGCTAGCCGCCCCCCCCCCAAAAGAAAACCACAATTTCGAGTGATGGAAAATGCAAATACATACCTTGAACACGCTGGAGTTTAGGTTTTGCAAATGCCATTGGCAAATTCAGAGGAATGTAATGTTCGTGATTGCAAATTGTTTGCAGAAATTCAAACTTGTATTCAGCCAGAACCTAAATGGAAAGAAGCTACACATGAACTCCCTTTTTCATCGGCATTTACTGTTTTAATAATTAAACACAGGCCATTCCTTTCCCAAACAGAAGTGTTCAGGGTTTTAAGCACACCTTGAGATGCGACCCGCGCAGGAAAGAGTTAACACAGCAGGCTCTCCTTTTAAAGCAAGCCTGCTCTCAAGGTTGGTTGCTGGCTGGCATTTGGGAAATTGGATTTTGAAATGCTCGCTACATGATAAGGTTCTGCCTTCTCTCCCAGCCTGCTCAGACTGTTGGTACAAACAATGTGATTTATTGTGAACACCTGCTTTCTTTCCCTTTCCTGCCTCTGGAATTTTGACCGGTCTCCAGTACATGGCCAGCCCCCCAGAAACAACCAAAACTCCCAAGTCTCACATGGGCTTCCCTGCACAGCACTGTTGCACGCGTGTGTCTGTGTTTTCACTGCTAGAGGACGGCTGTGCTCCGTGTGACCTTCACGGGAGGGAGGACGGGCCCTCGGGAAGCCTGCATGAGAACGGCCCAGGACTCCCCTAAATGTGTTTTTCCCTTACTGTTCCAGCTGTGTATCCTCACTGTGTCACCGTCATGAATCTTTAGCTGGGACTAAGACTGCCATAACTATACGCTAAGTCCTGCGAGTCTTTCCAGTGCGCCCCGGAACATGTGGGTGGTCTCGGGGACTCCCCAAACACTACCCAATATCCCCTGCTTTGAGGTACAGCTATACTCAAAGAACCTAAATAAAAACAGCAGCTCCAAGTCCTCCGGAGAAAAAATATCACCCTTGGTCTCATGCTCTGATGCCTGACGGCCGCCACGGGAACATCCTTATAATTTACCTTGGGATCTTTGGGGCTGAATCCAGATATGTAGTCGTTTATCAAATTGAAAACAAATCCTCTGTCCATTAGCGTCAGGCAGCGCTACAGAAACCAAACAAAAGGAACGGTGACATAATTCTGGAAGTCTGGCAAGGACAGCTTTTTAAAGTTTTCAAATTTGTTCCGCATGAAGGGCATGGCATTCTCACTTTTACAGACAATAGAATAATGGCTTTCAGAGTTTTACTGTAGGTGACTTAAAGAAGAAGATAAAGGGCAAGTGATTTATTGTTGGAATAGGGTCCCAACTGTACAATTTTCATATAGAGATGGACAGATGCGCATATATATACACAAATACACATAGATCTATAAGCATACATATGTATGTATATAAACACATATACATACACATACACATACGTATTATCTATTCAGCTACTCTGTCTCATTTTGGTCAACTCTAAAAGCTCAAAGTGAAGCATACAGTGGTCAGTTAGCTCTAAAAGTGGGGTTTGGCTAGGGCAACATTTCAGACCCAAAGAGAAGGCTCTCCTGTGTTCTGTGACGTCTTGGCCCATTAATACAGCCCTCTCCCGTGACCGCCCTCACCGCTGTCCAGAGGTGCCTGCTGGCCTCCTCCTAGTTAAGGCTCACATTACCGGGCAAGCATACAACTCCAGGAAGCCTCTGAATCAGTGTGCACCCATCATCTCTCCATCCATCTGCTTCCAGATTCATCTCTAAGTCCAAGCCCTAATCATGTCACCTTCCCTCCCAAGAACTTTCAATACTTCCCTATGGCCTTTAATATAATTTCCAACTCCTCAGCCTGGCATTCAAGGACACTCACAATGTCGTCCCAACCTCCTTCGCCTGTTTTACCGCCCGATACAGCTCATCTGCTCATTATCTGCTCCGGATGCGCTGTGTATTCCCAACTCCGGGTCTGTGCTCAGGCCAGGCCTGGCTAGGAATCTGCCGAATCCTACCGATTCCTCAATGTTCAGATGAAATCCCATCTTCCTGAGCCACGTTGGCCCACAAGTCCCTTGTCAAACATTTTCTTCTACGCTACCTTGTGTTTTACTTATTAGTTCCCTGTCTTTTTACCTAGATAGGACAATAGGAAGTCTCTCTTTCTCTTTATGTTCTCCACAGGGCCCACACTATCCCTATGAAATACAAGGAACTCCAGATTTGATCAACCAACCGTTTGCATCTCATTTCTCATGGGGATTGAGTTTCTCCCTCTCCCTCTGCCTGCCGCTCTGCCTACTTGTGCTCTCTCTCTCTCTCTGTCAAATAAATAAATAAAT